TATATATATATATATATATATATATATATATCTAAACAACATATTTTAAGTTTACAGTAAAATATACTTTATTATCTATAGAAATATTTAAGCAGTTCTATGATGTAGGAAGACTGACTTACTAAGTCATGTCACGCGGTTAATTTGAATATTAAAAAATCTTCTGCGCTTACGTGCTTAAAGGGGTCCTATTATGCCTTTTCACTTTTTCAACTTTAGTTAGTCTAATGTTGCTGTTTGAGCAAATTGATTTGATTTTGACACAATATTTACACTGAAGCTGGCAGGCGGCTATGGTAAGGGGCATGACATTTCCCGACCAGGCGCCGAGTGCTGCCAGTCACAACACACACTGGCCCAGCTAACCAATCACAGCACATTTCGTATTTCAGAAGGCGGACCTTCATTTGATACAGGAACTATTCGAGCCATTCATGCCAGACTGGGGAGAGAGGTGTTGTAATGATGTAAAATATGTGAAAAATAATGTTTTTCGAACAACCTAATATGAGAGCATGTTCTAGTACACCCCCAAAACAAAATCAAGACTTTGTAAAAGAGCATAATAGGACCCCTTTAAGTAGCCTAATGACAAAGACTGCTAAAACAAGCACCTGTCATGTTACTGTTATATTCATAACCATACATGTTAAACTGATTTTACTTTTAGGTTAAAAGCAACGAGGTTCCAACTAACCAAACAGACAAAAAAGCTGAAAAGGCAGAGCGCCGCCGTCTGGAGGTGGAGAGGAAACGTAAGGAGAGAGAGGAGGAAAAGAAGAGACAGCAAGAAAAGGAGACGACAGAAGAGAGGATGAGGCTGGAACTGGAAGAAGAACAAAGGAAAAGAGCAGAGGAAGCGAGGTACAAACTGTAAATGCTTTTTCGAAACAAATACTGGAACGAAATACTATATCCCACAGATATTGGCAAGAAACTATCACTGTCACATTTGCAGGTTACAGAAGATCAGAGAAGAAGATGGGAGACAAAGAAGACAGGAGGAAGAGATGGAGAGACAGAGGAGAGAGCGGGCAGAGAAGGACAGAGAAAGAAGACGACAGGAGGAGAAGAGGAGGCTGCTGGAACGGCTCCAGAGAGAAAGACAGGAAGAGGAGAAACGGCAGGCTGGTAAATACCTGTGCAGTCATGCTTTCTGATTGGTCGAGGCCCTTATCACGTGACAGTCTTGATATCTCTTGGACTGAATTCTGGTTGTGTATCCTCCTGAGACCCAGCTATGGAGTTTTTGCCTCTGTAGTGGACATTATATTTGAGTGAATTTCTCTGAGACCTCACATGTCACAGTTGTAAGTCTGGATGTCCTGTACAGAGCACATTCAGGGCTTTCCAGAGATACCAAATGATTGGATGTTTCCCCGAGAACACTCCCTCTCCTTGGTTTTTAAAAATGGCTGACACTAATTTAGTGATAAAAATGTACATCCTTATGGAAATATGATAATGACTGCTGTGAGAACGTATTACAGGATCTGAATCAAGATTATGACTATGTTCCAAGCATGTTTACATAAAAGAAGATGGAAAAGCAGTGCATTGCGATGCAAAACCATAAGACTGCAGGGCAGTGAAATGAAAAAAAAAGATCTAGATCTATGTTTTTTTTTTGTTTTTTTACTTTTAAAGTTGAACTTCTTTCAACTTGAGTGTCATGTTTTTAGTGTCAAGCACAAGATGCTGCAAAAGATGCATTTTTTGCATGCAGGAGATGTGAGCGCAATAGTAAAACTTGTCTATCTAGCGCATGTTTACATAGAGGTCGTTTTTGCATTTAATCTGCATTTTTGCATTGTTTTCTGTGTGAATGGCCCCTTAAGGCTGTATTCTCACCAACAGTGTTGGGGGGGTAACGCATTACAAGTAACACGAGTTATGTAATCAGATTACTTTTTTCAAGTAACTAGTAAAGTAACGCATTACTTTTTAATTTACAAGAGAATGTCTGAGTTACTTTTTCAAATAAGTAATACAAGTTACTTTTTTTTTCCAATTTATTGATTAACAGCTCTCCTATCGCCATGTTGAGAAAAAATCAGATGTTACTGTAGTTCTAAAATAAATATGAATATGTATTAATTCATCTCCCTCACAAAAAAACCTCACCCACAGATTCAGTATTCCTCAAAATGAATAAAAATAATGCAACTCAGAATATGACGCAAACCTGCAATAATTAAATGTTAAACAACACAAATATCCTTTATGTATTTAATCCCATTCTATTAACCAATGTCTTTGCTTCTGACCTTCGATGATCCAGTTCAAATATACTAATAAGCAAAAATTACTCTAGACAAACATCTGTGTGTCTTGTTTTTTATTGCTGAAGTGTGTTGAAATTTCTTCTTCTGCATTCTACTATACGGACGTAAATTTACTTTCCCTTCAGCCTGAGGCTTATTCATTTCACTTTTGGTGTGAAAAGGCTTTTATATTTGCCAAAAATAGAACTTTTTTATTTTAAAAACAAACAAGCAAGCCCTGTCCAGATTTAAAAAGTAACGCAAAAGTAATGTAACGCATTACTTTCCATAAAAAGTAACTAAGTATAATTAGTTACTTTTTTATGGAGTAACGCAATATTGTAATGCATTACTTTTAAAAGTGACTTTCCCCAACACTGCTCACCAACACAAATAAGTGTATGATTTGGAACAATCTACAGCTACACAGTGTGATATACTGTAAATGGACTTGAAAGCTGATTTAAAAGTTTAATGTAAGCATGTTGCTAAGCTAACGATGCAATTAACCTAAAAAACATAACACAAAATATCATTTATTAAAATATACTTTACTAATTATAATAGTAATTTATACTAATTTAAATCAATATTTTAAGTAATTGAATGATCATTTATTTATAATGATCATACTATTCCCATGATTTTGGATTTGTTTAAAACATTTTCTCTGTAATGTGGCCAGTCTGGATTTTAGCCTTGATAATAGCAATACTGACCACAGTACAGTCCTAAATAGCACACTTGACAGACTTGCACATGAAGTCAATGGAGACCTTAGGGAATCCCACTGGTCATTTTATGATTCAAGAGGGTGCTCACAAAGGCTTTATGGCCACGTGTGTGCTTGATGCCAAGCGTGCAGATTATTACCCAACAGTCAATGCAGCATTACATGACGTAAGTGTGTGTCTGGTGGAGGACCACACAGATCATTATACATCCTACAACATGAAATATCCTACAAACATAATGCTTTATAAATAAGTTGAATGAATGACTGTCCTCATTTTCAGCTCAACTGGAACGTCAGCGTTTGGAAGAGGAAGCTTGGAAGGAGGAGGAGCTCAGGAAGTTGTCAGAGATGGAGGAGGCTGAGAGACTGGAGTACCTGCGCAGACAGCAGGAGCAGCAAGAGGAGAGGAGGAAAGCTGCTGAGGAGAGGAGGAGGAAGGAGGAGGGAGCAGCGATGCATGCTGAAGAAGAGGCTAGACTGCAGGCTGAACTGTTTGCCAGGTATGTCACAGCTGCAACACACATCTCAGGTTCATTCATCAATGTTTCATCAACTAGGGTTCCTACATGTGAGAACATTACAGCTACGCTATGTAACTTTTGGACATCTAGCGGTTGGTGTTACTTGCAGAGGAACATTGTTTTGTGCTTCAGCTCTGCTATTCTGTGCAGATGAATCTGATGATGAATGACAAATGTATGGAATGATGAAAGTAAGTAATCTAGGCTTACCATAGTGATTTAGGCTAAAAGTGATTTAGGCTAAGACAAAAACGCAGTTTGGTGTGAAACATAATATTGGTGTTTTTAACTGTGCTGGAGTGCTTTTGTGAAGTCTAGTGTTTTTCTCACAATGACAGGCAGAGGGCAGCACTGGAGCAGCACTTAAAGTTTCAGAGGGGTCTTTTTGTGGAGGCTGACGGCCTGGAGCAGACACAGGATATTTCTCGGCCCTGGATTTTCTCCTATTTCACCCTGTTGAAGCTGCTTGGCTTGGATGAGGCAGCATCTGAGGACACACTCAAAGATGTGCTGTGATTCCTTCATTTGGGTTCATGCAGTAAATTCTCACACCCAGCACTTACAACTAGTGTTTCAGTTATGTGCCTTTTTCTTCAGTAGGTGAACAATCTGTGTCGCATGTGAATCAATGAGTTAAACTGCTGGATTGCTCAACATATTCGCAGATGTCGAACTCTGTCATTTCAACATATCAGCACTTTTGAATTCTAGACCTGAAAAAGTAATGTAAATTAATAAAATATTAAAACATCATGGGCATTTTCATAAAGAATATATATTTTTCTACATATGCTACAAATGTTGTTGTGGACAATGAGTGGGAGTCAAATGAGGGTCAAAGAGGTTGAGAACCACTGGCATAGAGTGAGCAGCGCCCTCTACTGTCCACAGCAGCACATCTTTTGTCACATAAACAAGATGGCACATTTGTTCATTTTGAATTATAGTAGAATTCAAGTATATGAAAGATCACAACATGCACAGCATCAGCATCTAGGGCAAAAAGACAAGCAGGTACCAGTGAATTCATCTTTTGACTGAATGTAATGATTATAAGCAACGCTTCTGCCTGACAAGGGTTAAAAGACCTAAAATACCTGTAAAAGAAAATCCATGGGCAACGTTAATGAAAATAGTGTGTAAACCTTAATACAAAAGTTGCATAATAGCAAAATTCATATTTAACTTAACATCAGTGTCATTATGTGACAGATAGTAATAATGACTGCTAATTTATCAGTGAAGAATTTCATCCGTCTCTTTTCTAATGAAAATTCTGTAATATAAATTAAAATTCTGTCATTAATTACTCAACCTCACGTAAGTCCCGTAAGACCTTCGTTCATCTTCGGAAAACAAATTCAGATATTTTTTGATGAAATCCGAGAGCTTTCTGACTCTGCATAGACAGCAAGGGAACTACCACGTTCAAGGCCCAGAAAGGTAGTAAGGGCATGGTTAAAATAGTCCATATTACATCAGTGGTTGCATTTACACTTTTGACCAGCAGGTCAAGCTAGCGTATCAAAATCCTCTTTTGTGCTTTTGAGAGACAAAAAAGTGCTTGAATTTACCTTCCAGCTTCTTTTTCCTGCAACATCTTAGCTCCTGGAGAAGGGACTGCTGCAGAGGAAACTGCTGGCTTCTGATCCCAGATACAGTGTTGCCAACTTAGCAATTTTCTTGCTAGATTTAGTAACTTTTCAGACTACCCTAGCAACTTTTTCTTCCAAAAGCACCTAACGACAAATTTAGCAATTTAAAAAATTGATTTGGCAACCTTAAGCAACTTATAATAAGTGACTCAGACAATAAAAAGGCACACATTTTCCATCCAAATTACACAAAAAGAGGAAACCACAGATGCCTAGCCGTACACACATCACGTGAATTGAGTTAGCTGCTATTTGCGATTGTTTAATTTTTTTCTTAGAGTGTAGCATACTAACTAACTACTAATACACTGCTTAAAGCATATTAGTTGAGAATGTGTAGAATTACTAGTTTACTAGCTACTAAAAACACTTACATTGAAATCATTCAAAAATGTGTACGTTTTCAATAATTCAATGTATTTAAAGATACAGTTATTTCTATTTTAATATTATATCATGCATATTATTTTACAAACAAATCTAAATTAACATATAAAATATATTTTTTGCTGAGATTTGATGATGTGACAATTTTGCGTCGTGATTACGCAATGACATCACAACGTCATTTAGCAACTTTTAACAACAAATCGACCTTCCTTTAGCAACTTTCTCTGAAAATTAGTTGGCAACACTGCCCAGATACAGTGTCAAGACGGCAGCTGTCAAGTACATGTGGCTGCATGAGGTGAACTTCCCCCAGTCTATTTAAATCTATTTTAAACAAAAGTTGCTCCAGAGTATTCGGCACTGTGAAATGCTGGATACACACAAATGTGCTCTGTCCTTCAATTCTGCCCTTCTTCCTGATGAATAACATGAAAATATTTTTTCCTAATCTGTCTGGGACAAAACTAAAAGTGCACTAGGGCTGTTTAAATGTCTTGTATGAACACCTGCAGACGAGCTAATCACAGACATTGACACTGGCTAAAGAGGAAGTTGGAGAATAAAAGACCTAAATATTTTTTTTTCTTGCTGGAACAAAATAATAAACACATAACCAGGGCCGGATAACGTTGTGATGACTGATTGGATGCAGTGCATGCATACTTGGGCTTGTTTGTTAAACAATTAGCCGATGCAATTTATATGTCTGAAAACCGCCAAACTGACCCCAAACCAGCCCAAATTTTGTCCACATTTCGTTCATTTAAATATGACAAGTACAAGTTTTGCTTACCAACAGATAGAATTATACCTATAGTTATTTCAATGTATTATTTGTGTAAATTGTTCTCCATTTGTTAATGTTTTTGTATGTTTTGCACATTCATAATGAATAAGTTAAATTGAAACAGTATAAGAATATTTCACTGTGACAAAGCAAACAACTAAGAATCATAATTGAAATAAATGGGAATAATAAAATGTCAGGACACACGTGAAAACAGTAATTTGTGGGTAAAATGTGCATAACTGTCCTGAAAATAAAATTGAAAAAACCTTGGGCTTTATAACAGAAATTTTAATTTTAATTTTAATTTTAATATGACAAGTTTATAAATGTCGAAATGACTCGTTTGTCATTTTGCTTAACAAAATGTTATTTCAATGTATTATTTGTATTAATAAATATATCTTCCCCATATATAAATGTTTTTCAGTACGTTTTGCACATTAATAATGAACAATAAAATGTCAATCATAATAACAATAACACTCAAATCACATACTTATTATTTATTATTAAAGAAATATTCTTCTTCCATCCGTACTCAACTGATGACTCGGCAAAAAAGATAAAAAAAGAACATAATTTTTGTTAGTATAATTTTTATTAGTCGCACCGTTAAGGGGCCTTAACAAAACAATATGATTTCCATCTCTTTCTAACACCCCTCAAAAAATGAAGTTCACAAATCCTGCATTTTCTTGAATAAGAGGAAGACTTCAATAACGGTTCTCAAATGTTAAACATCATCGTCTCTCAGTCTCAGCACAGAAAAACCGGACAGGAGCAGATCTAGGGCTGCGGTGGACCTGGAGGATTCTGTGACCATGTTGAAGCAGCTGATCCTTTGTCAGCTTTAAACTAACAGGACAGTGTTTGAGCTGAGCCTGTAACAACGAGTCTCGCACGCTCAGAGCGAAGGGAAAACGTGAGGAATCTGGGCCTGTGATCTCAGACAGGCTGGGAGTGAGATTAGAGGCTGCCCCAGCCAGGGCCTCAGAGGGGAGTCCGGCTCGCTCAAGGGCGCGTTCACGCTCAGGCTCTGAAAGCCCTTATGCTAAGAAATCCCTTAGTTATAAGGTTAAGGGAGCCCTTAGTGAAACTTGGGTTGCAAGAAAAAAACCTAAAGGTCAACTTAAGGAACCTTAAGGCTGCCATTAAGTATTGCCCTTAATTGTTGCTACAAAGTCTTTAGTAACCATTTCACCTTAATAAATTTAAGGGACCAAAAGAGCTCCCTTAAATCATCTTAAACTCAGTATCTGCAGGATTTTTAAACTCAAATGTAAGATTTCAGACATTTTTTAAGACCTGCACAAATAAAATATCATATGAGCGCAGTAGGGCAATGGCAAAACCTGACTCTCCCAGATCAGTTTTCAGCACTGAGTTTTTACCTCAGGGATTTTCCCCCCTCAGGGATCCCGCTAAGCAGTGCTTGAAGTGGGCCGGTATGCACCGGTACACGAACAGATGGTAGCATAATTCGATAGTGAAAAGTGCTACCTATCAGATTTTGCTTCCAGCATGATATTAATAAGGTGTGAGGCTTTATTAACATGTACACCAACCCCAACCCTAAACCTACCCTTACAGTAGGATAAATACAGTGTTGGTAGCATAATCTGATAGGTAGCATTATTTGTCAGAACACTGGCACTTCCATATTTTAGCCTTTAGAGTACCTGCACTTTTTTGTGTGTACCGACACTTCTGACATGTTGCCGGTACTCAGGGTAAAAGCGTCAGGGTCACATTAAAGTGATTATTACGTTTTGAATATGGATATTTTTCTTACAAAAACGCATCGATTCGCTACAGAAGGCCTTTCTTCACCCCCCGGAGCCGTGTGAGACACTTTTTTTTAATGGATGGGCGCTTTTTATTTAACTTCTTTTGGACTGATGCATGCAACACCTGCTGAGTGCCATGAAACATCTTGAAAGATTTTCAATATATTCAATTTTTAATATAAGTCCAACTGGATTCGTCTGAAAGAAGAAAGTCATATACACCTTTAAGGACTTTCATGCAACTGGGCCCAGAGTCCCACGCTGAGGTGTTGACGTGTCAGCAAACTCATTTTGAGCTCAAGAACGGAGAGAAACAGACTCGCCGGGAGAACAATTTGCTGTTTGTCTAAAAAGGATCCGGCACTGAAATTGAACTGAGCATTCACAGACTTGTCACACAATGCACACTGAAAATATATCATATTTCTCAGTGTCTTCAATCAGAAACCCCTGCGAGCCTCAACACACGCCACGTCCAATTATGTTATGTGGGCTCCCCTCAGACTTCAGCCCCTCTCTCCTCTTTTTCAAATAAATGACAAGAGTGCCATGCGTGTGCCTATAAGACCATCAACAGTCATAACACTAAAAATTATCATCATTTTAATGATTTAAGACTAAAAATACTACGGTAAAACCTGTTAATTGATTAGTAGTAAGTTTCCATTTGACGGAAAATTCAGTGTAATTTTACAGTAAAATGCAGTTTTTGGAAGTGAAAAACAAGTAATTTTAATAATTTGCAGCGTAAATCCGTAAAATGATGTCTAGAATTCCGTGTGACACTGTGAAATTACTTTTTCTTAGTTCCCCCCCCCCCTTATTAGTTATGTAGCCTACATTAGGATTTTATGTTACATCTTATATTAATGTGTATTGCATTATTCTTGTGTCGTGTGTATTAACTTGTTTTCCGGTGTCTTTCGCATCCAATTCCAAAAATAGTCCATTATGCTGCTATATATTGCTGGTATTTGTTTTCTTTTCTTTATCATAAACACACTGGTTTGTATCACAAATAGTTTTACAATGTACTGCATTGCACTTTTTATTCTTCTAGGCTATTTATTTATAGCGGAAGTCAAAAAAACAAACAGCTTACTTCCACATTGCAAAATAAGGCGAATATATTAGTATTTGCCTCAGCTTGTGGGAAAAAAAAACTGCTTGTGATGAGCTTTCATTTCACAGCTTTTCAATGACTTTGTTTTAAACAGTGTATTCTGTGTCTGTGGTGTTTAAATGCAACATGAGGCAATGAGGTGCTGATGCACTGTGGGATTGATGTCTGTGTCTGCCCTGAAATAGTGCTGTGTAATGGCCTTGTCTACGGCAGGGCATGAGGTGGGTATAGCGAGTCACTGGGGAAAAAGCCCCTGTTTGGACTGCCCTCCGTGTGAACATTTTTACCCCTACATTCACAAAAGACCTTAAAAAAGAGAGAGAGAGAGAGAGAGAGAGAGAGAGAGAGAGAGAGAGAGAGAGAGAGGGGGTTGATGTCTGTGTCTGCCCTGAAATAGTGCTGTGTAATGGCCTTGTCTACGGCAGGGCATGAGGTGGGTATAGCGAGTCACTGGGGAAAAAGCCCCTGTTTGGACTGCCCTCCGTGTGAACATTTTTACCCCTACATTCAAAAAAGATTAAAAAAAAGAGAGAGAGAGAGAGAGAGAGAGAGAGAGAGAGAGAGGGAGGAGGGAGGGGGTGTCAGTGTACGACGGCTGAAGAGTTTGCATGACTGAACCATTTCAAACACCTTTCAGCTACACTTATTGCAATACACTTATTAATTTAAATAAGATTCAAATGTGAAGATTAAACTTGAGTCATAATTTAAATTTTGATGAGTGATTGTATGTAAAAGCACACATATTTGTTCTTACAAATATAGTCAATAATCATCTATTGGCATTAACTATATGATTTCTTGAAATCCCTTTTCCCCCCTAGCCGTTTGGGTTAAATAGTGCAGTGTGTCAATTCTATACATCTACACTACTGTTCCAAAGTTTGGGGTCAGTAAGATTTTCATTGTTTTTGAAAGAAGTCTTTTATGTTCACCAAGGCTGCATTTATTTGGTAAAAAATCAGTAAAAATATTATGAAATATAATTACAACTTAAAATAACGGTTTTCTATTTTAATTTATTTTATAATGTAATTGAGTTCTGCGATGGGAAAGCTGAATTTTCAGCATCATTACTCTAGTCTCTAGTATATCATCATAATCATCACATGCTGATTCGCTGCTATATATATGTGTGTGTGTGTGCGTGTGTGAAGCCAGCCTGATGACCAATAAATATGGTCACTTTATGTCACGTTTAATTTGTGTCCATCATGTGAGGCCATGCATTATTACAGCATGAGTGGTGTGGTATCACTAGGTGGTGTGTGAGAAAGCATCCGAAACACGTTAAAGGTCTAGTGCCAAAATACAAATATTTTCATTACTCCACATTTTTGTTCTCAGCAAGAGATGAAACACATTTCTAATGACACTTGGAAGGGTTTGTTTAATATTCTTGAGTTCTCTTAATGATCACACTTCAGATCATCCAGCAGAGACATCTCATTATTGGAAAAAACGGTTAACCCCAAATTCAACTCACACGTCAAATAACACCCTCACACATTTGGAGTGAGTGCAACTTTATTCTGTTGAGTTCCATACACACGTAACAACACAAGAGACTACATGGTGTACTGTATGTGGAGAAACCTCCACCCAGACAGACAGCATTCAACACACTATCCCATCATACATCACTGTCCCCGCATTAAGTTGTACATATGGATTATAAATATCTGACTGATATTCCGCTCTAATTAGAAAAGAGTAGGCCACTACCCATATAAATGTATATTAATATTGGCCCTACAGCAAGAGAGTTCTCTACTTCAATACACATCCTAAAGAGATATACAAAAGCGCTTGATAAAACGTTATCAATTTGTTTTTAGCAAGAAATGTTTGGATTCTTGTGCCGTTGCCAGAAGAGATTGCTGCTTTTACGTTCCTGAGTACTGATCTACAATAGTAATCACAGGCTGTGAGATTATTTCAGTTCAAACACAGAAGCCCCGTATGGCTCTGATTCACAATGCTGGTATAAAAGTGCTCAAATATTCCAGGTTCATGTTGCATTTTGTTTAAAGCTCAAAACAATACCTTGACTACAACAGTGAACAAGAAAAAACAGGAACTCTGCTAAAATGCCTCCCAACAAAACAACTGCGAGGAACCCCACCCTGCACACAAAGCACAAACGCACTGAACACGAGCGAGAGATGGTCACGAGCCAAACCCCTAGCGGACCATCCGTGACCTGTGTGTTACACTGACAACCTTCCCACAGCACTTCTGAGCTTGAAGCTGAAAATCCAAAATTACTTCTATAAGTGATTGACAATGTTCAACTTGTACTATTATTATCCATTAAAGAGATCGTTCAGTCAAAAATGAACATTCTGTCAGTATTTACTCGTGTCACTCCAAACCGGTGCTACTTTCTTCTGTGGACGACAAAATAGTATGTTTTGAAGAATGTTGGGAAACAAACAATTTTGGTGCCCATTGACTTTCATTGTATGGACAAAAAAAAAATAAAATAGACATATCTGCTTTTATGTTCCACAGAAGAAAAGAAAATCATACAATTTTGGAACGACAAGAATAAATGACTCTGTTTCATTTTTGGGTGAACTATTCCTTTATGTCGCCTTATAATTCCATCTTTTTCCATCTACAATAACTGTCACTGAGCCACAGGAAATGTTCTCTTTGGCCAAGCCTACAGAAGCACTTGCGTGAGCTGCATAAAATGACAATCTTTCATCAGACACTACTTGATTTCTTACAAAATAATGATAAAAACAACTATAGCACTGGAAATCAGTCTAGATGCTCAATAAGGAATATTTGGAATAGTCTGCTCCATGATGAAAATGACAGTAATGCAAGCAGCCTAGTCATTTAGACACAAACAGAGAAAATCTGTGCTGTTTTTAATTGTTGAATCTAGTGATACACACACACACACACACACACACACACACACACACACACACACACATTTGACTGAAATTTCCCAGAATGCATGCATTAAATCAATCTAATGACAGTATTGTGCTCTGACTTTGTAAACTATTTCATTGGATATCACAGGAAACATTACATGAATGTTTTGATATCTGAATTGTTCACTACTTGGAAATTTATGCGTTACATTTTCGCAAGTCGATTTTGTACTTGTCGTGTCCTTCTTTCAAACATTCCTCGAGCTAAATCGGCTTAATCATTGTGAGAGGAGAGAAAACATCCCGTCTGTCCACCCAGATCCTGTCGAGCCCTCCTTTCACTTTATCACTTTGTTCCCTGCTGGGGTGAAGTTCAGAGTTTGGACCCATATGCATTTGAATGCAAACAAAAGAATCGGGTTTACAGGCCACTCGTCCTGTAGCTGTTAAGCGGCGATCTCTCTCGCTATTCTTATCTTTAGCACCTTTCGGTCTCCTCGCCACCAGTGAGAAAGGAAGAGGAGAAAAAGCAGAGAACCGGTTCCTCATGTTCCCCTGCTGCTTTTGTCCGGACTGAACGGAGAAGGCCTACTACTGTGAAAACAATTCAGTCCCAGAATTCATTCTACCAGGTCTCTTGGTCTCTTCATCTGAAATGGCATCATTTGTATTCAATGATGTGCTGGTCCTAGTACGATAGAAACGGTTCTCGCAAACGTGATCCACTGCAAACTATTATAAAATACACTTTGCTTCTCACAAAAAACAAAACTATATAGCCACATCAGTACTGAATCATTGAGAAAGCTCATTTAGATTCATTTTCATAGCGATCTGAGACACATTCTCAGGTTCACTTGTATCTATGAAAGGTAGAGGAATAATAAAAAAGCTAAATACGTTTATCACAAACCCAAAACCACCCAAAAATGGCCTCCTTGTTCTTTGAGAACAAGCACAAAGCTAAAAATGTGCATAGCAAAAGATAACCATTTCATCTCACCCAATGAAAGCCGTTGATTATTAATGACCACTTTGTTCTCGAAAGTTTTTTTTGTTTTGTTTATCATGTTCGATTACTGAAATGTGCAGAGTATGCAGACGCAGTTGCTAGGACACTCGTTGAGGGGCATGTCTAACTCTCTGACAGACAGGAGGAGGGGGAGGAGCCTGTGGGCTGCTGGGAAAGCATGCAGGTTCTTCTCGAGACTCTCAGCTCAGGCTCGGGCGTGAGACGGGAGACGCTCTGGTTCTTGAGGTTGTTGAGCTCCTGTGTGGGCATCAGCGGTTTGGGAATGCTGACCAGGCAGAACGCGGAGCCGCTCTTGGGGATGAAATTGACCTTGTTCCTATCTGGGCACAGGAACTGTGGGATCTCCTGTGGAGGCCTGGCCCTGAGGAGATGAAAAAGGAGGAGGAGGAGAGCGATAAGATGGTGAGAAGCTCTGACTCAGCTTTGAAGTCGGTGTAAATGTTATGCTATCATGGTTTCAAGGCTCAGTGCGCATAACAATAGAGAGCAGATAAAGCAGTGAATCAGGACACACTGCAGCACTCACTGTGTTTCCTCTGTGAAGACCTTGACTCGCTCACATCCCTCAGGTGGCTCACGTTTGAACATGTAGCTGTTGTTTGGCTTTGGGGATGAGGCGTATTTGGGTAGGGGTGAGCTGGGGGCCAGATCTGTGAACATGGTACAAAAAATGAGTAGAATGACAATAGAGCTCAATGACTCAATTTCATTTTTGGGTGAACTATTCCTTTAAGTCCATCTTTTTCCATCTACAATGACTGTCACTGAGCCACAGGAAATGTTGTCTTTGGCCAAGTCTACAGAAGCACTTACGTGAGCTGCATGAAATGACAATCAGACACTACTTGATTTGAACATGGTACAAAAAATGAGTAGAATGACAATACAGCTCAGACAGGATTATTACTGGAGATGTATGTGAGATTCAACAGAGAACAATTAGTTGACTGTCAGTCTTAAGGAAGCCCTATATAATTATAGTCCACTAGATCAGTGTTGTTATTGCTTACTAAAACAAAGCTTTTGTTTATTGAAATAAAGTTGAATAAAAATATTAGCTGAAAAAAAAATGTTGCCTTGGCAACTAACTCAAATAAGATAAGTTGAAGTATTAAAATGACTAAAACCAAAAAAATAAATAAAGCAAAATAGAGAAAAAAAATTTACCAAATAAAATAATAATAATAATAATAATAATAATAATAATAATAACACATAACAGATTGGTCAAAAGTTAAACTAAAATTAAAATGAAAATATAAAAAAGACAATTTAAAATATTATGTAAAATTCAAATTAAAACTATAATTGTATACAAATAATACTAAAAAAAGCTTGAAAATGTCCATCAAAATTGCATTTTTAAAAGCAGTTATTTTCAAATTGACACAGCATCTTAATGCAATGTTCATGTTGCGACTCAGCAGCCATGATGTCCATCTGCGTATGAACACAGATTAGCATTTTACGCAGATTACGCAGACTACACAGTCCTTCAATAGGGTATTTGACATATATTTAAAACATTTATAGAATTAATATTTATAACCTTTCAGTGCACAAAACTATCACAATCCTCACAAAAAAATGGAGACATACGGATGAGTCAAACAGCACATGCTCTTAGCAAGCTAAAAAACTCTCCGAAAGATTGTCTTTAAATTCATCTCTTAGAAAATGTGCAAATCTCTAATATATTATTATTATTAAATCTAAACCAAAAAATTTAAAATCTAAATAAAATAAAAAAATATATTCTTAAAATAATAATCTAAATATAATGGTTGGTTGGTGGAAGATAAATCAGTTATTTAATATTTTAATTATATTATTTAATAATTAATATATAATTTAATAAGTTACTAATGAAACGTGTAGCACTGTCAGCACCATATAACAAATCTGACCATGTTTAAATCCATCCCGCAAGTAAAAAATAAAAAGTAAGAAAATGAAGAGCAAAAGCAGAAAATGTGTGTGCAGTTCTTATGTGGGCCTAAGGATATGTGAAAAGGCCTGAGAGTGTATGTGGGTGTGAAAATATGTGAGCTGTACCTTTCTCACGGGCGTCAGCCAGAGTCTCGTCCTCATGGGGAGATGGACTATCGCTGCAGGGCTCACTTGGCACGTTCAGGAACGTGGGTGAGATGGACTGAGAGCGGCTGCTGCTGTTGCTGTGGTTACTGCCCGCTGTGGTGCCCAGGAGCGTCTGTGTGTCAGGGGGTATTTTCATAGCGAAATTTAATTTGCAAATCTAATTAATTACATGGAATTAATTAGATTATAAATATTAATCGACTGACAGACCTAATATATATATATCTGTGTGTGTATATTTACACACACACAAAATAAAAATAAATGATATACAATACAATTTTATCCATTTGTTAGGCCGCATTTACACTGCATGGTTCAAGTGACCTAATTCCGATTTTTTTCCTCCCATGTGGCCCAGATCGGATATGGCCCACAACAGTGTAAGCAGAAAAAAGATTACATGGATTCTGATATACTCAGATCGGTTTCAGGCCTCACTCATATGTGGAAATAAATCTGATATGAATCAGATACGTGCATTTACGCCTGCCGTGTAAGCGGACAGATCGGATATGCCCTTGCTAATGCGAGTTGAATGTCAAATGTTTTTGAAACATCTCGCAGTACAGATATATCTATTACAAATTAAACATCTCCAGTTGACTAGCAGAGTATTCATTTTGTTCATTTGTGTTAAATAAGAGGCGATCTGGCACTGAAAATAAAATCACTGATGAACACAATTGGTTTTAATGAGGAAAAAAACACTTTACGATGGTGCATTAGAACCCACACCTGCTAACTTAACACAATAGGCCATACCACGGATGTGTACAGCGGATCAGTGTGTAATCACTGTCGTGAAGATTCGGTACTAATTAATGATTTTGATGCAAGGATGAAACTAGTCTAATGCATTAAAATGTTTCTATGAGTTCTGTCAATAAGTTAAACTCTTTGCGTTCATATTCTGGACTCATCTGCTTTTCTATATAAAGTATGCATTATTAATAATGTATGCAGAGTTTGGACTTTTAATATCACTGTCTAATGCATGGAGCCACGTCAAGTTAAGCCTGTGTTGTGTAAATGATATCAGATACAGGTCACTTTTAAAAGAAGGTGTAAGCGGGTCGTCCAAAAAAACCTGGATATAGTAAAAAAAAAATCAAATTTGGGCATCCAGACATGCAGTGTAAATGCAGCCTTATATATAGATATATATATACACACATATAAAAATATAAAAGAGGAAGTCACTTCTGTTTACCTCAGGTTTTTTTATTTGATATGATTTACCTCATACATTTCATGTTAATAAAAAAATCTATATATTCTATAACTTAATTTATGATATAATATTTATAATACATATTTTTATATAACACAATATATCATATCATATCAAATCATCATATCATATATTATATGTTATGTTAATACTAGTGCTGTCAAACGATTAATCGCATCCAAAATAAAAGTTTTTGTTCACATAATGTGTGTGCACTGTATATTTATTATGTATTTATAAATACACACACATGCATGCATATATTTAAGAAAAATATGCAATGTTTATATATTAAATAAATTTATATATAATATAAATTATATGAATATAAATATATACATGTAAATATTTTCAAAATATATACTGTATGTGTGTATATTTATATATACATAATAAATATACACAGTACATACACGTATATTATGTAAACAAAAACGTTTATTTTGGATGCAATTAATCGTGATTAATCGTTTGACAGCACTAGTTAATATAAATAAATTTAATTATAAAACTTTTGCTCCCCCATTAATTTCTGGTTATATTAATTTATCAAAAGTTATATATTTTTGTTACTAATAAAAATATAGTTTATTTTTTTAGTTTAATAGTTTATTTAAGTATTTTTTTATACTTAAATGATACATTATTATATATTATTTTATGTTTAATAAAATTAAATCACAGGAGGAAGTAAGTTTTTGTTCTCTCATTAATCTCTGCTTATATTTAGCTCAGGTTATGTTTAGCACTAAGAGGCACATGCACGTTTTTCCCGAAGTTTGTAACAGTGAGTGATCAAGTAAAAGCATCAGGACAGCAATAAAGATAAATGTGTGTATGAGTTTGGTGTGTGTGGGTGCAGCGTGCATAACACAGAGACACGATCTCAAAATGAGAACAGATATGCCACTAAAAGGAAACTCTGCCCGTGTGAAAACTTACAGCAACAGCATCACACAGCAGCTGAATATTCACACACTTCAGTTTCCATATGATGCTAAACACTAACAGAGGTACGTCTTATAACATCACAGCACAGCACACAGACACATAACAAGGTAGCGTGTTGGTCTCCTCTGCAGATCAGTGAGTTATGTAACTCGGTCTCCCTGGCCGACTTCTGAGCCTCGCTTGCACGTCTTTGATGCAAAACTCACGACTGTACAAGGACACATAGCGAGATACCATGACACATGCAAACCACATGCTTACGGAGTTAAATCAGCATGCACATCTACAACATGTGCCATCGATACTAACAGCTGCTGTTTATGACGTCTTCTGTGAGAGAGCGAACAAAAACTTCACCTTTCCCGAAAGTCCACTTCCTGTCATCCTGACAGAGAGGGGGTCCGGTCTTCCTCCTGGTCCACCGGTCTCTTTCTCTCTCTCTCCTCTGTGCTCTGTCTCGGCTCATGCTCTGGATTTTAGTTCTCTCGGCCCCCCTCCTTCCTGTGTCTCTTCATCATGTCTGCCCTCTCTCTCTCCCTTGTTCTGATCTTTCTTCTCCAAGTGTATTTCTCCATCCCACCCCCTTTTTTAAAACCGAGCGCTGCTCTCGCCGTCGGCCCTCCCCCTTTTCTTTCTCAGGGTATGAGGGAACAATGTGAGGGCATTAGCAGGATGTTGCTGAGAGTTGTGTGGCCCTGCGGTGGTCCTCACTTAAAGCACGCCAGAACTGCTTCATTAACATCTCAATAGAGCGAGCCAGGCTTTAAACTCACATGCAGCATCACTACATGCCTCTCTTCTCTCCAACGCGCATGTGTGCGTTTAATCGGACATCATATTTTTCAACATAAAAGTGCTCTGGGCCCTTTTCTTCTGGGTGGTTTGGTTGTTTATCTGCTCATCAGATTGGAAAACAGCTGAGAAAAAACCCTGACCCTCGAGGTCACCGGTTAAGTGATTCCGGCTATTTCCTAGCAACTTTCTGGCAAGCGGTCACTAGGAGGCAAATATTTGTTTCCATATCAGATTTACAATGGCATGCTGTGACATTAACAGAAATAATGTATGACCTGACCGCAATAAAGGACGACACGGTGCTCTCGGACCCCTGGGTCAGCACCACTGATCTGATTGGTGTCGTCTTCAGACAGAAGAAACCTGGCTCAGCAGTTTGGTGACGTCTATAGAGGCTACATTGGACTGCTAGCAAACCCATGCTAACTTCTTGACCACAGACGCTTGCCTCTTACATAAGAGGTTCAAATTAAGGTGCAGTAACCGCAAGAGAAGAATTTGTCAGCCAGAGATGTGAAGAGTGCGAAAAATGTGTTTAAAGTTGCAATGTAACGGAAGTACTCTTCTGTACTGACATGAATGAAATGGACTAATGAGTGTATGGGATTCATATCAATCGATTGTTGATTGGATAAAGGCAGAACTGAACGAAAGCTTGCAGTCAACTGTAAGAAAGGGATAGAGTTTAAGCAGGTTAAATGATTGGAGAAGTCCAACAGAGTGAAGTCTGTCTTAAATTCTTTAATATGTGAAGGCTGTTCCAAATGCTTATAGAGTGCAAAAGTGCCCGACCACTTTTTATTTTTACATTATTTTACCTATTAATTTTCCCATGGGATTTTGTTAAGGAGCTATAAGCCATGAACCAAATCAACTACGAGGTGAATCACAACAATATAAACTTTGATTTGAATAAAAAAAGTATTCAAAAATTGGATGGGGATCGAGGGCACAAGACTATTTACTTAACAGCCTTACTGGGGGAAAGAACTACAATCCCATGAAGCACTGTGAATGACATGATTGAATCATGAAGAATTATTCATTTAAACATGATGTTTGATTGCAAAATATGCCCATACATATACAAATATTTAAGTACAGGGAGACTAACTTAATAGAGTCTTTTGCAGTGCTTCAAGGAAATGTGTGGGCGCTAAAGAGTTCTGTTGGTGTGGATTTGCATGTTGTGGATTGGTGGTGATTTCTTTGCAGAATCATGGGTAATGTAGTTTCTCACCAGAAATTCTGCTGTTAAACATGATTATTTAAAAAATAAGTTGAAATGATGTAGGATGATGGATTCAACAAAAGCATAAACCATTGATTTACAACTTCAGAGCTCACAGTAGGTCTGTCTTTAAAGGTTTGTAAGTTATCATTAAAAATCAATTCACCTATGGAGAATATGAATGGGATTTTTACCTACAGAACCTAACTGTTGCACTCTATTCAAGTATTGCAATGTTAGATTAGCAACATGTGCTTATGCCAAACTCTACTGGAATCAACCAGGAGTGGCACTGTCCGTGAGCTTCATGTGAGCAGCTATGTAGCTTCAGTTTGTATAGCTTTACATTCCAAATTAGTCAACTTATGAGACTTAATTTCAGTCTGGATGCCGCCTTCGAATTCAACTACAATTGAGGGCTGAATGTGAAACTGAAATAAAACTGAAGATATATATATATATATATATATATAAACAACTTAATTTGCTCTATTGCTTTTAGTTGCACCAAAATTACAAGAAGGGTTAAAAAAAACTCCATGAACACGCACTGAAGCCTCAGTAAAACAGTTATTTAAAGTCTTCCCGACTGCATGTAAAGGGCCTTTCTTCACTGGTATGGAAGCCTGTATTGGTTACCACAGTCCGCCTTTAAAACAAGAGGTTAGACAGAAGAATCCCTTTAAAAGGTCTCCAGGCCTTGATAGCTATACTGGGCACTTTCACGTCAGCCATTCTTTGACCACTCTGGTCTTTATAAAAACAAGAGATTCATGGGGTTGATGTTGTTGACTGGTGCTGAACTAAAGGTTTGTGGAGAGACATAAAAGGCACGACCCCTCCAAAGCCCCGCTCAAGTTCAAATGACTCACAACGCATCTCTTCTGTCTCCCTGGATTCA